GTGGGGGTGAGTGAGATCTTCCAAGGTATAGGTTGGACCTTCCCTGAGTGGAACCCAGGTGGGAGAGAATGGAACGGGCACCTGACTGCAGAGGGAAAAACTGAGTGAACCATCTTCTCTGAGTCAGTCCCAGCTCTTGAGCACTGACCCTGTACCAGGCGCTGTGCTCTGGTGATTTGTGCATGCTAACATTTGATCCTTGCAGCAACCGAGGAATAGGTATTATCACTGTTAACTATTCTTATCAATAAGGATTCTGATGTTCAGAGATTACGAACTTGCTAGCTCCTGGCAGAGCTGAGTGTTCGACAACAAGCTTTTAACCACTTACTCTCTTTTGCCCCCATTCTTGGCAGAGGGAGGTCCCAAGAGAGAGAAAAGGATCACCATGGACTGCTCCCAGCAGGCTCCACCTCCAGGCTACTCCCCTAACTCCATGCCCATCCTTTACTGTAATTTTCTTGTATTTGTCTGTCCCTTCTGCCTCTATCCCACCTCCCGTCTTCCCTATCACCCTGCACGGTACAACCATAATGATTATAGTTGACAGCAGACAATTGGTCCTTCATTCTCTTCTCTTCTATGACAGCTGCTGTTCCAAGGCAGGCTAACTTGTTGATACCAATTACATGGCAAGCAGTTTGGAGGCGGCAAGGGGATTGATTTATTCAAAGGATATAGATGGAACACTGTTGACGTGTCACCTACTGTGAAAGACACAGGTATTACGAGGATGAGCGAGACAGTTGCAGCCCCTATACTCACGGCCCTTGTTCATGAAATGGTCACACACGTTGAATTATAATTTTCATACACAGCAAGAAGGTCAAGTACAGAATGAGTGGAGAGTACTTAACAGAGCTACTTGGGACCTAGGCCTTAGGAGAAAGGGGTGTTTTAGTGAGACTTGAAGGATGGCTGAAGGCCTTAGTCTGTGAGGTGTTGTGGGGAGGGGCATTCCTGGTAGGCAGGGCAGGTGTGAGTGTTTGGGGGGGTCAACGGGATCCTAGGCCCTGGAATGAACTGAAAAAGGGCAGTGGTGTGGCTGTTTAACTTCTATTGTTTTCTGAGTCTGAGTCCTTAAGTGTACAACGGGGATGCTGACGATGGGAGGAGTAAATTAGATGGGAATATGTGGTAGTCCCAGATGGGCTGACCCAGGCTGTCCTGTCGAGTCAACCCCTTGACCACTGTAGCCACCAATGAGTCCAGTGAACCTTCTCCAGCGCAGGGCTGGGCTCTTTGCCAGAAACTGTTTAAGCCCCAACCAAGGGCTCTTTGATTCCCCCTTTTCCTGTTGGTCTGAAACTCCAGAAGGCAGAAATCCCTGGGTTGTATTCTGACTAATGAAGGTGGAGCTTAGGGGCCACATATTTTTAGCTCCGATAGCATCTCACAGCATATTTTCCCAGGGAAACCCTCCACTTTCCCCATTCTGCCGGAAGCTCTGGGCCAGCCAGACAGCGCAGCATCTGGGAATGGCTGGGAACAGGCTGAGGAGGGAACACAGACTGAGGAAATCCAAGTAAATCAAACCAGATGGGGAAGTGGGGACTGGCTTTGGGGCTGGTTACTCTCCTCCTCACTCAGAGGGGAGCAAACGTCTTTGTTCCTTTCCCACCTCCGGCTTTATTCTCTTTAGGGGAACTGAAGGCATATCAGAGCCAGCCGCCTCCCACCATCTGCAGGGTCTGGGGCAAAAGCGCCACATACCACATGTGTCTAAATAATTAAAAGTTTTACATCACGCTGTTGAACTGTTATACAATACATTCTTCCCGATGACAAAATATACCTTTATAACACAAAATAAGGTACATGTAAAGTCATAGGTTTTATATGACTGCAAGTTAGCAAAAATACCAAAGATGGCTGAATTTAATTATCATTACATATTTCTGGGTGTTCTGTTGTTGGGCCAGCGATGTTTGGATAAACTAAAGACATATTTAATTCATAAATTAATATGCACTTATTCTATAAATTTAATTTTTCTTGCCTTCAAGTGGCAACATGACTATGTTCTTATAATCAAGATCCCACCCCTTTCCCAGCTTTCTTGAGCTATAATTGACAAATAAAAATTGTATGTATTTAAGGTGTACAACTTGTTTTGATACACGTATACACTGTGAAATGGTTACCACACTCAAGTTAATTAACACCTCCATCACCTCACAGTTACCTTTTTTCTTTCTTTTTTTTTTTTTTGATGTGTAGGAACACTTAAGAGCTCTCTATAATCAAGATTTTTTATATAATTTGTGTTCTATTGTCAGTAATACCTAACTAAACAAATTTTCTTGAGTCATTTGAATTCTTAGTTTTTAAAATTAATTCCAACTTGAAGAAATTCTGCTCTAATAAGGGGAAGCACTTGAGTTTGTCAATAAGATTTTGAAAGCAATGCTTAGATTCAGAAACGGACCATGCATTTTTACATATCGCATTCAACTGTGCTAATGGGGTCATATATAGTTATTGTTATTACAGAAAATATTACAAAATGTTTTCATTTTCTATGCAAATTGATATGTAATATAGAAAACATATTATACAGTTATATATAATTTATTCTATAAATTGCATCCTATGAACATCCCTTAAATTGTAATGTCCTCTTGCATGAAGTCCCCCCTGATACTGCCCTCATCCTCTCCATCTTACCCCAGCTGGAAGAACAGTCTCCTTCTGATCTCAAAACTCACTTGGTGTGGCTGTCTGTTGGGATCCCTTAGGACAGAGGCACTGGCACAGAGTACTGTCACATGCTTAGTGGTTAAGAGGTAGGACCTGGATACAGACCTATTGGACTCCTAGCTCCATCCCTTACCTCCTGAGACCAGTGCTTCAGTATCTTCAGCTGTAAAAAAGGGGGTAAGTAATAGTACCTATCCCTTCAAGTGGTTGTGAAGTTTAAATGAATAAAGCATTTAAAGTGCTTTTCCTGAGTTCTGGCATGAAGGAAGTTCAGTAAATGCGAGTGATAATTAGACTGGCCACATCCTGCTCCACTCTAGTTCCCTGTACGCATCTCTCATCCCTTCCTTCTGCAACCCCACGAGCTCATGTGGGTCCATGGCCATGACAGATCTTTAACCTATTACAGAGTTTTGAAAATAATGTTCAAGAACTGTTTCTCAAAGCAGTGGCATCGCAGCCTTCAAACAGTCCAGGGCCTTCAGACCGCACCTACTCTGAGCTATCTTTCCTCTTTCACAGCGTTATGGACTAAACTGTGACCCCTCCCCAAATTTATATGGTGAAGTCCTAACCCCCAGGACCTCAGAATGGGACTGTATTTAGAGACAGAGCCTTTAACAGGTAATTAGGGTAAAATGAGATCATATGAGCAGGTCCTAATCCAATATGACTGGTGTCCTTATAAGAAGAGGAGATTCGGACACACAAAACGGAAGACCATGTGAAGGCACAGTGAGAAGATGGCCATCTACAAGCCAAGGAGAGAGGCCTCAGGAGAAACCAACCATGCTGGCACCCTGGTCTTGGACTTGCAGCCTCCAAAACTGTGAGAGAATACATTTCTGTTGTTTAAACCACCCAGTCTGTGGTATATTGTTATGGCTGCCCCGCTACCCGGCTCTTTCTTCTCATGAGTATGCCTTCCCCTTCCATTTGAAATCCTTCAATCCGTGCCAGTCCCTGGGAAACATTTGTGCCCAGGTATCATGACTGCCTGTATACAAGTGGTCCTTTTCTTGTGGGAGTTATTTCTTTTTTTACATCTTAACATTTTTCAAAGTGTTTTTGTTCCACGAGAGGACCCCTAGTGTTGCAGAGAAATGGGTCTCCAACGTCACAGCCACTGGGTGATGTGGTGTTAATCCAGGCTGATTAGGTTCTGTAGGACTCAGATCTTCAAGAGGAAAAAGAGCACAAGGTGTTCCCAGATCTCTTTGACCAAGGAATCGCTTTTCACTGAGCATCTCTCAGGCCTGATCGTCCTCCAGTGACACGTGATCAACTATACAAGCCCTAACAATGAGAATCCCTGAAGGTGGTGATACATGGCTGAGGAAGATTTTGTCCGTGAAGTAGTCAGGCCTCTCAAAGTACACCTGTGGGAAATGACCTAAAACCAGGATATCAGAGCTGGATAGACCTTGGATTATTCGGTCCAATTTGAAGAGGAGGAAACGGAGGCCATGAGAGATTAGAGGGCTGACAGAGGCCACAGCAGAGGGAGAGTCACCAATGCCCTAGGACTTACCTTTGTGGGCGGTCTTTAAGAAAGGTGGTGCTGTGTAAACTGTGAGGCTCCAATCACTGGAGTCGGTTTTACACACATCCTCCTAGTGTTCTTCTAGTGTCATCCTTTCTGATGAGCATGAGAGGTTCCCAGGCTGAAGGTACCCCAGCCACCATGCTGGGTGCTCTCCTGATACCAGGTTCCACTCCATCTTACTGATGCCAAGCCCCGAAAATTCCAGTGACCAAACCCCCAAGTCTAGTTGTGGGGTCTGGTATGGTTGATCAGTTCATTGTAGTACTGACAGCAAAAGCCCAGGCATTGCAACTGTGTTCAAATCCCAGCTATTACCCAGGAACTAAGTGAAAATAAACACACTATACAGCCTCTCTGTCAAAGGTGGAATGTAACACAAAAGTGACTGTGGTTGAGTCTCAGGGAAGAATAAATAAGATTTAGCATAGTGCCCGCACCCATCAGACCTCATTAAGGATTACTTCCCTTTCTTCCTCTTCAAACCAGGGACCTAGGGTGTACAGTTACACTTGCTGAGGTCATGAAATCCCTAAGGGCAGGAGCTATCTCCTATACCTTGCCCAGGTCAAGTCAATTTGTAAAGAGCTGTTTCTCTCAGTGAGAAAGCAAAAAAGGTCACTAAAGGGCGCACTGACCTGCTAGCTCTTTATCTTCTTCCATTCCATTCAGGTTGATTTCTTAGTCATTAGTTTTAACGTGGCTTTCCATAGATCCATGAGGACAGTATGACCCTGAATCACGACCAAGATGCTGGTTTCACTGGTTTGGGAGCAGTTTTAATGAAGATGGGAATGTTTATCGACTCAACACAGGTACCCCAAAATACAAAGCAAAATATCATCTTCAGCTGCATAGCAAATAGGATTTAAGAATTTAACATCATTTGATCACAAGCGTAAATAGAAGTCACCATAAATAAATGTAAATTCATTGTACAAAAATTCCCAACAACTCTTAATACAAATATGGTACATTTGACAGTTTCTGAAACAGATTTTTGTTAAAACTTTTTAAAACCTAAGATTTTTTTTTCTCCTTGTTCTTAGACACACAAAAAAAAATCAAAATGGGGGCAGTAACACCAGGGAGGAAAGAATATTAAACCTGGTCAGTGCTCATTCAATAGATGTTGCTGGCAAGTGGGGGGAATTAAAGGTCTCTCCTGAAGATAAAGACCTCAGTTTACTGGGAGAATCTCTTGAGGACAACGGGATTCCACCCTAAGGGTCAAATTCGAGGTTAGGAATGCAGGGTGGGAGGGGTAGGCTGTTGAAACAGCAGATCTCATCAAATGGATGACCCAAATCTCTACAAAAGCAACGGTCAAGGATCTGGAATGCTCTCTAGGGCCTAAGAGCTGGTCATCTGTCTGTAAGAGCTGCTCTTCCCAGACAGGTCTGAAGATTTGGAAGGCCCTGGAACTTAGAGATTCTATGTGGGTTTTCAATGTGTGTTCTATCGTATAGCTCTACCATGTGGTGAACTACCTTTTGCCTTTGGGACACATCTATGGCCGAGAGGAAAAATTAAGAAATCAGAATAGGAAGTGGCACCTCCAGACAGGAGGATCTCCCACCTTCCACTTTAAACCACTTTCCTATAAATATTTTCTTTCATGGCTCAGAGGGTGCTCAAAGCCTAAGGTTGGCTGTGGAGCAGACCTCTACAGCAGTGGTCCTCGGACTTCCATTTACAAGGCAACAACTCAGAGAGCTTACGGAGAGTGCAGATCTCTAGACCTTACTCCCACAGGTACAGAATTGAAGGGTTTTGGGGGTCGGGGCAGGAATCAGCTTCCAATGTGCTAATCTCAGGAAGCCCTGATGTAGGAGGCCTTTGGTTCACACTTGGTGAGCCCCACCTCTCTCCTCCCTGGAGAGCATGAGTGTATCACAAAAACGTCTTGCTATGTACACATCTGTGCTCTTTCCATGGGGTTAAAATGGTCCATCTGATGAATGGTAACCATTTTCATCCATCCGCCCTGAGGGAGGGGATCATTACTGTTCTATTTTCTCTCTTTTCCTTTCCTTCCTGGGCAGGGGGATAGAGAAATAAATGTCTCACTTTATATTTTATTACAAGCTCATGGCTACAGACTTCGTTTGAAGATGAGGTGCTCTGTAATGAGACATTCATCTCCAAAAGACATACACTGTCCTTTCTAAACAGTCTCCCCACGTTTCGAGGGAGACTCTGCAAAGAATTTTGGTTCAGTCTGGGAAATAGAAGTAGCTATGCCTATCCCATACCTCAAAATCTGTCCCATGCCTCAAAAATCTAAGTTAATGACCATTGAGAAGGTAAGAGCAAAAGATCAAATGTCTCAAGAATCTGTTTTTAGGACAATGGAAGTCCTGATTCACTAAAACAGGATGCCTTTTGGGGGGCACATCTTGGCATTAAAAGCTCATTGACAAGTGTTTATACTCTTCACCTCCCTGACCCCAATATGTTTCTGGCTTCTGTTAAAATACCTCTTCATATGTTCTTTCTCATGGGAGTTTTCCTTGATGAGACAGTCTGTGCAAAGAAATGGTCCCTACTTTTGATCGCCTGCTAAAATGCTGCAGGCCGGGCATTTTACTTCTTCAGTGCTGCCTTCCCAGTGTCCGTCACCCTGTGTGGGTTGTGTTCAATAAGTATTTGCTTAATGCATACAGGAACCATCTCACCACCAAGCTGATGAGGTGGTCTAATAGCTTTATGATTTGGGCTAGGGAATTCCTGGCTGTGTTCATAAGTAGGTCTTCTGCACATTGGGCCTGACCATCTTCCTACCCTAATGCTGCTCAGAGGGATACCGATGTGAATGCATTTCTGAGTTCTCTCTAGGAGAGACCTGAGAGGGGAGTCAAGGTGTGGTTTGGGCAATCTATGAAAAAACAGAGCCAACCATGTCTACCATGATGCCAGTACCAAGAAACTGTCCTCTGTTCACCATGGCTTTCAGCACCTGGTCCAGGAGTACTCTTGGTGGTAGAACCCCTGGCATCCAGAGCAGGAGATATTATCTGGAAAAGTGGGGGAAGGGAGCCAGAGGTGAAGAAGCCAGTAAGTGGAAGGCATGCCCATCAGCCCAGGATGACATCTCGGGACATGGCTACACTCTCTTCTCAGTCTCTGAACTTCAATTCTGAGGTCACATGTGGGTGCCAGGTAGGAGGTGTCTTGGGAGGAGGTTTTGGGAAAAAAAATCACGAATGTGGGGTGGGGTTGAGAGATGGAGAAAGGGTGAAACTAGGACTCTTAACACAGCTGAGGGAAAAAAGGAAAAAAAAGCACATACTGCCCTGTTTTTAGTTTAGTTTTGTTTTGTTTTCATTTACACTACAGAAAAACCACCATGGAGATGTCATGGGAGAGCATGCACAGGCCAGCCCTTGGGAGGTGTAGGTGTATTTAGGGAGGTGCTTATTTGCTTCCAGGTCCGTCCCATACACTGTCCAGTCGGACCCTGTTGCAAGGCTGTGGCCATGGCTTTCTCTCTCCTGCTGCTTCTTCTCCTCCAGGTTGAGGGTTTGCAGGACCTTCGGCCTAGCAGGTGGTGGCCAGGGACTGGTGGATGGGTGGTTGGAAGCAGCGCACGTGCTCCACGGTTGAACTGTCTGTCTCTACGGACTTCATGTACTTGTTCAGGATGGCAAAAACCTCATTGTTCAAGATCTGGTACTTCCTGATTCTGTCTGCCATTTTCTTCAGGGGCTGCAAAGGACAGGGCCGTGCAGGTTAGGGGCGGGAGGAGAGGATATGGAAACAAAGGTAGAGCAAGGGAAGAATTCAGTGAGGTTGGGGTATAAGATCTCGATGCTTCAATGGTCATATCACTGTCTTGTTTAAAGCCCTTCTGTGGGTTCCAACAGCTTGGAAATCAAACGTTACTTGGCTATAAAATCCTTTGTGAGTTTCAAAACTTACTACAAAGCTATAGTTATCAAAACAGTGTGGTACTGGCATGAAGACAGACATATAGACCAATAGAATAGACATCCCAGAAATAAACTCTTCTACATGTGGTCAGTTGATTTCTAACAAGGGTACTAAGACCATTCAATGGAGAAAAGACAGTGCTGGGAAAACTGGATATGCACATGCAAAAGTTGGATCCTTACCTTACATCATATATAAAAAATTTGTTCAAAATGGGTTAAAAACCTAAACAAGATTGAAAACTATAAAACTTTTAGAAAAAAAACGGAGAGAAAAAGCTTCATGACATTGAATTTGGCAATGATTTTTGGAATGTGACACCAAAAGCACAGATAATAAACTGGAAAAATTAAACTGGACTATATCAAAATTAAAAACATATGCATCAAAGGACACTATCAATAGAATGAAAGGGCAACCCATGAAATGGGAGAAAATATTTACAAATCATGTATCTGATAAGGGATTAATATCCAGAATTCATAAAGAACTCCTACAATTCAACAACAACAAAAAACAAACAACCCAATTAAAAAGTAGGATGGCTATTACCAAAACACCCCCAGAAAATAACAAGTGCTGGGAAGGATGTGGAGAAATTGGAAGTCTCACGCATTGCTAGTGGAAATACAAAATGGTAGCCACTATGAAAAATATGGTAATTCCTCAAAAATTAAAAATAGAATTACCATACAATCCAGCAATGCCACTTCCAGGAATATACCCAAATGAAAGCAGGGAGTTGAACAGATATTTGTATACTCATGATCATAGCAGAATTATTCACAGTAGCCAAAAGGTGGAAGCAACTCCAGTGTTCATCGTTAGAAGAGTGAATAAATAAAATGTGGTGCACACGTACCATGGGATATTATTCAGCCTTAAAAAGGAAGGGTATCCTGACACATACTAAACCATGGTAAACCTTGAACACATTATGCTAAGTGAGGAGTCCATCTATATGAAGAAGCACCTAGAGAAGGCAAAGTCATGGAGACAGGAAGGGGAAAGGCAGTTACTGAGGCTCAAGGGAGGGGAGAATGGGGAGTTAGTGTTTATTGGGCGGAGTTTCAGTTTGAGAAGCTGAAAACGTTCTGGAGACGGATGGTGGGGATGGTTGTGAGTGCACCTAATGCCACTACACTATACATGTGAAAATGGTCAGAATGGTGCATTTTATGTTGCGTATCTCCTACCACCATGGCAAAACGCCCTTTATGAGATGGCTCTTGCCTCCTTCTCTCAGCTGTTCCCAGAGACCACCCTTGGTTCCAGCTGTGTATCTCCATGTGTCTGTGTCTTTGCTCCAGCTGTTCCATCTGGGACATCCTCTCCACCCTGCACCCACTTCCTGCCTGGCTATTTGTTGCCAGTCATTCTGGACTTAGCCCAAGCATCGCCTCCATGGGAAGCCCCTCGGGCCACCCCCTTCCCTGCCCCTCAGCCTGGCTTACACAACCCTTCTTGGTGCCCCCACAACAGCCCTGCTTACCCCCGACAGCGCTGCCCCATGCCCATGCCTGACAACTCCCGTGTTCAGTGAAAGTTCGTGAGATGAGGAACCAGCATCAGCAGAGCCTGACTGGCACGGGCAAGGTGTACTTCAGGTCTGGGGCCTGGCCCTGCCCTGCGGGGTGACCTGATTCATCCCAGTGTGTTATGAGCAAGTGACTCATGGTTTCCGCTGAGGAGATCCCCAGCTGCTGAGTGTCTTTGTACCTCCCTGCCGCGTGGGGAGTTGGCTCCCTAGGCAGCTCACCTCCCCCTTTTCAGATGAAAGCCTGCTTGTCAGGCCTGGCTCCATCACCCAGGCCCCAGCCATGAGCTGCTTACCACATTCTTAATGATTTCATCCTTCCCGTCCTGTCTCTGTACTTTCAGCAGGTGGTAACAGAAGTCAAATAGGTCGAAGCGACGCTGTTGGCCCAGCAGAACGATGATGGAGCAGCCAGCCCAGTTCAAGCCGTCACCGAAACACTGCCTAGAAGCAGGGGGAGGCAGCAGTGGGGTGAGAGGCAGGGGAGGAGGAGGGAGGGGCCCTCATCTTGGACCAGGAGTATAGCTAGTAAGCAGGCCCGTCTCTGGGCCAATTCTCTTGATCTGTAAAATGGGTACAAGGAAAGCTGCGAGTGTGGATTTGCTTGTTCCAGGGGCTGTGCTTACATTAAAGACTTTCTAACCACAAAGAGGTGTCAGCCTGTTGCCCCACTGATGTAAGAAAAAAATCACCTCTGAAGAAGACAAATTTGCAAGAAAAAATCCAACCAGTCCCTGAGATTTACATGGCTGATTATTTCGGGCAAGTCAAAGCAGAATCTGTTCTGGGCCCATAAAGGAGTCAGGGAACGCCTGTGAGGGGAAGGGCCCATTCAAACTAGGAGACCAACTGGCCAGTGGAGGCTGAGCAGGCAGCGATGGGGGCACAGGGGGCACCTGAGCAGAGACTGCTGGTGTGGGGCAGGGGCTGGGTCCTCTTGGGGCTGGTAAAGCTCAGCCTGCGTGCCTCCCTCCACCCCCAATTCTCAACAGCAACTGGCGAAGTCTGGGTGGCTGTGAGGTCATTCCTCTGCCCACTTTCTTGTCCTCAAGCAGCAGTCACAGCTCAAACTGGGCAGGTTCCTTGCTTCCCCATTGCCAAGTCCAGGCCCAACAGCTGCTGGAAACCGCCTTCCCAGCTCAGCCCTAACACAGCTTCCTCGGGGAGCCTTCTCTGGCCCTCACGTGCTTTGTATCCTATCTCCTGTCTCCTCTGAGGACAGGCTTGGGTTACTCTGCAAGACCCCCCATTTTTAAGGCGCAGGGGCCGCATGAGCCAGGCCACCATGAGCAAGTCAGGGCCTGACCTCTGCCAGGGAAGACTCTCTGTTCCACAAACCCTGCACTTCTGTGGGGAGGTGAGGTGAGCAGTGAGGTTCTTAATGCCAAACCTTCCCCAGGGCTCCCTCCTGCCCATTCAAAAGCCCCGGGAGGTCCCAAGTCCCCAGTGGGCACACTCACACACATATGCTTCATCTCTGCCTCCAACCACTTGCTGCCTCTCTTGGGACAGCCCCTTCTCCCCGCTAAGATTTGAATCCCAGCAATGTTCAAGGCTCAGTTCTGGTCTGTGAATTGAATTCCACTAACCCATTCCTCTCTTTTCTCAGGCATCCGTCACCCTTCCTGCCCTGGCTGCAAAGCTGCCTCATTCAGTGTGCCTTACGTCTCTCCATAGGCCCCGTAATCCCCACGAGCCCAGGAACCGTCACCTTTCATTCAGCATTAGTGTATGGCCAGCGCCTAATGCAACAACTGACACATAGTATGTGCTCAATAAACAGGTGTCAGACCTCCCCGCCCCTGTCCACCTTTCTGGTTGGCTCTGGCAGCCTGATGGATGCCTCTCGGGGGAAACAAGCAGGTTGGGGGTGCCTTCCCTGGGGGTACTCACTCAGCTGTGAACTCATTGGTTCCCACGGGGATGCAGTAGACGAACTGCATGGCACTCCACAGCCGGTGGAATTCCACACACTCGTCGACATGCATGACGCCGTTGGTGGGTGGCGGACCCCTCCAGATGGGGTCCTGCAGGTAGCTTCGAATGCGAGTGAGGATGACCTCGAACATGGACAGGCCGCAGCACAGCCGCTCCTTCGTCAGCAGGTCACCCTCCCGAGCGATGGCAATTTGCTGAGAACAGAAGGGTATATAAGCCTTCTATCTATGTCTCTGACCTCATGTTCCACTTCTCACCAGAGATTCCCAAACCCCGGAGCTGGCTGTACCTGGAAGTCATTCGCCAGAATGGATGTCTTGCCCAGAGTAGGGCACTAACTTTATAAACCTGAATGCAAAACAGGGAAGTCTTATAGTAAGGAAAGTCTAGGAGACATCGATAGAAGAATCTTTAAAAAATTGTTTGATCTACTCATATAATGAATGAAATGCTTTGTTGCCATTGAAAAGGCTGAGATGATACTATTGCTAGTATTACTACTCTAGTACTTCTACTAACTCATACTCACTGAGTACATGTAACACACCAGGTCCTGTTCTAAGCACTTGATAAGTATTGACTCCATTTATTCCTCACAGCAATGAAGGGGGTGACATTATTATCCCCATTTTACAGATGAAGAAACTGAGGTTCAGAGAGGCAGCCCAGTGAGTGGTAAAGCGGGGACCTAAATCCTTGTAGTTGAACCTGTGGTTGTTAAACTGTTAATTGAATAGAGCAAGCTGCAGAAACGGATGTATACTACCATCCTATTAAAAGACACCAACAACACACAATCCCACAGATAAGACACACGCACAACTATATGTGGGGGCGTGTGTAAAACGTTTTAGAAGGATTAACATCAGTTATGGGAGCAGATGGGCTTGGAGAAGTGGGTGAGATTTCACTTTTTACTTTAAATGCTTCTGTACAGTTGAATGTGTTACAATGAGCATACGTTACTCTTTTAAAATTTGCCACTGATTTTGCAGAACTATTTCCTCCAATTAGAAGTCCTCTGACCGTTGTAAATGATCTCTATTAATAATTTAAACTGGCTTCTCATCTGCTTCTGGTTATTGCATCTCCCTAATCAGCTGGCTAGACAAATACATCAAAACACATTACTGTCTGCATTATGAGTAACAATATCTAGGAAGAGAGGTCTCAAAAGCCATGTGCAAAGTAAGATAGATGGATATTAAAATCCAAGGTCAAAGCAAGGTCTCCAAAGCTAGAGACGAAGCAAAAGAGGTTTGGCTTCTCAGACAGAGAGGCCTACAGGGCACTTGTGGGATCGGGTCCCCAACGGGTGGTCTCCCCAGAGAGCTCATTTTACAGGGTGCCTGGGGAGAGCCTGCCTGACTTCTGGCCTCAAGTTTCTGCCCTGGAGCCCCCAGAAGAGGACAGCCTCTGAGTTAATCCACAGAGGGAAATAAATCAGGAAACACCCTGCTGGAGCCTGTCAGGAATGTGGCCAGGAGTGCTGTTGTCATGACAACTATAAACTGAAAGAAGTCTAGGAAAAAAAGGCGTGGATTGGGGAAGAAGAATTTGACACCATGTGTTTCAAACAGGAAGGCGAGGGAACCCTGATTGGCAGCAACTCATCTTGACTTCCTGGGCAGAGAAAGATCTCTTGAGCAGAGAAGGGGCCACTCAAGTTGCCACAGTTAACTAGAAACTTCTCTTATGGAATCCTGAACCCGCTGCTCTATTCTGTTCTCATCAGGCCACTCTCTACCAGATGAGAATGTGACTCTCCATTTCAGAGAGTGCCGGGAACAGTGAAGATGCTCAGGAAATAAATACAGGATCTGTATTTGTTCTGGAGTCATGAATGTTCTCCTTCATAAATTACATACAGAGAGCTCTGGGTTACTAATTAGTCTCCTGTGCATGTATTAGTCTGAATCGATCCTCAGGGCCTGACTATTGTGGGGGATTAAAACATTGGCAAGGGGGTTTATAAATCTGCAGACAGACTGAATTCTGGTGATGACCCCCCACCTACTAGAGCTAAATAAAAGGGCCTTGGTTGAAATTGGTTAGGAGCTTTGTCCTTTCCTGGAAAAAGTGTTCACCCTTACAATTTTTCCTATGAATTATAAAAGTAATATAGTAACTGAGTAAAATCTGGAAAAAAAAAAAGTAAAATGTCATAAGAAAATAAAAGTCTCCCATAAACCCATTAGAGATGACCTTTCTTAAAATACTGATGAATAATTTGTTCATTTGTGTTTATGCATGTGAATGTGTATATACATCTGTATTTAACAAAATTTGGACCATCCCATCTGTATTGCTTTTTTCTCTTAAGAGATCAGAAATTAAAAAACCATTTCCTTCAATGTTTCCAGTAAAATGATTCTTTAATGGCTACATAAAATGGCCACTGACATACAATCATTTCAGTCCTCTACTCTGGCTGGTTATTTTCAATTGCTTAAAAATTTTCATGATTACAGACAACTCTAAACAATCAGCCTTCTACATAACACTTTCTGAGCTTATCTCTGGTTCTCTTCTTAGGATAAAATCCTAGAAGTAGAACTACTCCATCGAAGAGGATTAGTATTTTAAAAGGCTTTTGCTACATAGTGGCAAACTAGTCTGAAGAAAAGCTGAACCTCTATATCTCTCAATCTGTGTGAAGTCTGTTCCTTGTACCCTCGCCAATACCCTATTATCACTAAGTTCTTCGCCAACTCGAGAGATGAAAAGTTGTACCCTGCTCTTTTCATTTACAAACATAAGACTGAACACATTTTCTTATGTTTATTGACATTTATATATTTGTATGTTGTTGGTTTTCCTTCCTGTCCTTTTCTCTTTTGGTACGTCTGTTATTTTCTTTTTGCTCTGAAAAAGTATATTATAGATTATTTGCTGGAAATACCCCCAATTTCTGGCATGGGGTGTGTGTGTGTGTGCACGTGCGTGCGTGCATGTGTGTGTGTGTATGTGTGTGTGAGTGTGTGTGTGTGTGTGTATTTGTGTGGTGTTTAACATAAATTTTATCCACTTCTTTTCTATTCCAGTCAGTGGGGGATTTTTCTCTTCTCTATCTGCCATTCTTTTCTGAGTGAACAAGGAAATAGAAAAAGCATACGAGTACGTGAAATAAATTTCTGCATGGAGTACTTTGATTATATCTAGTACTTTGGGGGAGAATGATATCTCAATACTCCCTCTTTACAGAATTCTTTGTGTTTCTTGAAGACTTTTACTTATTTGTTCATTGAAATGATCATGTAAGGCATAAGGCAGCTCAACTAAGGAGGCAAAACAGCTGTTAGCCCATTTTGTAGATGGGAAAACAAAGACTGAGAGATTAAATGTCTAGCACTAGGTTTTCTCACAATTGAGGGGTGAAGCTGGGACAAGGACCCCTGCGTTTTGACCCCCTGTCACAGTGTTCTTTCCAGGATAGCACTGGGCAACAAGTCAGGTCATCTCGACTTGTCCCAGAAACAATGCCAACAATATAGCTCTGTCAAACCTCCTGACTTGAAATATGCAGCAGAGTGTCTCTGTCACTGACCTAGGTATTCTGTGAGTTCCCTGAACCCCATCTAGATTGGAAGTTAATACTCTGTTAACTTTTTTTTGGTCTAAGGGACATTTTCCTTGAGGGCCAGGGGAATGATAAAACTGGCACTTCCCCTCCTGGAGAACGTCTAGGCTTTTGTTTGTTATATGCTCAGCATTTGACAAATTGAGATTTCTATCGGTCCCAAGGAAATGGTGTTCGCCAGAACAGGGAAGGAATTTGCAGTCTTCTAAAGTGGAAACACATGCCAAGCCCTGGGTGCGAGGGGCCAGATTCTTGTAGAATGACACCAACAGCGGGGCAGACACATTTGTACGCTGCCGGCTTGGGGGATTTCTCCCCTAAAAGGAAATCTTTCGAGGATCTCCGCTGTTCAGCTCTCAAGACCAAAAAAGAAAATGTGTGCCCTCCACAGTATCTGAATTCTCTCTGGGACGACTCAAAGAGCCCAAACGTTTAGTCATGCTTTCAGGAGGAGGTGTGTAGCATGCAGGGGTCCTTGTAAGGTTGCTCATCCATGTGACACACCTGGGCAGATCGGGCTCTGCAGTGTGCCCCAAATACTTGCCATGGTTTTCGAGAAGAGGCTGCCTTCTGCAGAGGATGCGTGTTCAGACTTAAGCTTTTATGATGATAGACGAGAGAGCCTTAGGAATTCAAGTCCACAGGCAGGCTTTGTGGGGTTAGGCAATCTCTTCCTCTCTCTGGGCCTCAGTTTCCCCACCCGTAAAATGAGGGGCTTGGACCACACGCTCTCCCTCTAACGCTCCTTTTGGTTCTCAGAGTCCACGCTAAAAGGATCATACCTGAGGGGTCCCCAGCCGCTCTATCAGGGGGACCAGGTGAAGCGGGGCATACTTGGCTTCTAGGCGTTTCATCCGGACCTCCAGACGCTCCCCCTCTGTAAAAGGAGCAGCAGGCAGAGGTTGAGAGGCAAGACACCCCGGGGAACTGGGGGAGAAACAGCTCTCAGAGGACCTGGTGACGTACTTGCCCTCCAAAACTTGGATGGAGCGCGTAGAACTGTTCTCCCTAGGTCTGGCAAGTGTAATCAGGACTCACTATAAAGAAAAAGGTTCTATCATCTCTGTCCAACAATGGAATCATCTACCTCGTGGGGTGATGAGTTTCCCAAAACATGAAGGATTCAAGGCTAGACAGCAGGATACTAAGGATATTCTAGCAGGAGCGAGGAACAAGGCCTGCAGTACTATAGTCTGTGACTATTCGATAGCTTCCCAAAGCTTTAACCTTTTCCATTTCTGACTGCAGAGGTGAGTTTATTGGGATTAAGTGAGCAAGAAGTTCAAATTCAAGTTGGTTACGAAGCTGCTGTTTGTGGATTCTTACCTTTGATGTAGACTCTCGGCAAGATATTTTGGAAGGGGGCGGCATGGAGCAAATCACAGACTTCCTCCTGAGACTGCAAACAGAGATGAAAGGAAAGAAAGAAAAGAACATTTTCATTTTAAACCCAGGAAGGATTGTCATTCCTAAAAACTTGAGCATTGGAGTCAGCCAGACCTGGGTTCAAATCCTGACTCTTCTACTTACTAGCTGTGGGATCTTAGGCAAGTTGCTGAATCTCTCTGAGCCTGCTTATTTATCTGCAAAATGAGGATGAGAACAGTACCTATTTTAATGGGCTGTTGTGAGGATTTATTGAGAGGATGTATAACCTCATAGAGAAGTCCCTGGCACACAATGAGTGGACAATATACTGTCAATCTGGCTATAGGTTTATAAATTTTATTGCTTTTTTTCCCAAAGAACTGGTTTTTAGTTTCACTCATCTCTTTCTCTAGTTTGTCTCTTTTCAATGTTACTGATTTCTGTTCTTATCTTTACTATGTCCTTCCTTCGGCTCGCTTTTGGTTTAATTTGCTTTGCTTTCTCTAGTTTCTTGTGGTAGAAGCCTAGGTCACTGATTTAACACCTTATTCATTTTTTTCATATAACATTCAGGCTATTCTTTGATACCTCCAGTAACCAGGAGCTCAGTACTTCTGTTCCATTTTTGAACAACTCTAATGGTGAGCATTTTGATTTTGTATTAGGCCACAGCTGCCTCCCAGTAGTTTCCAGTCAAGATCCTTGCTCTGCTCTTTACAGTATCGTTGAATGAGTTTTTCTAGCCAGTATCTTCAGCCTCCCTTCTATGCCTCCTCCTTTCAGGACCGAGTATCTTACAAGAGTTTTCTACACCTCTCTCCATTTCCCAGTCTTGACTCTGCCCGCCCCCAGAAAAAAGAAAAATGTGCAGCTAGATCGCACCATGGCAATGGCTCTGGCAAAGATTACCGAGGACTGCTCTGTCACCAAGTTCAATGATACCTTTCAGTTCTCATCGCACGGAATCTCTAAGGTATTAGGGCACTGTGCTTCCGCAGCTACTATGACAATAAGTTCTGCTGCTTGCCATCATTTCGGTTTCTCCTTTTCAGACTCTCTGGCAGGTTTACGTTCTAACCATTCTTTAAATATTGGTTTTGTCCAAGGTCCCACTTTGTCGTTTTTTTCCCTCCTTACTTTAGTCTACCTGGTTTGTTCTCACCTAATCCTACAACGACAAGCATTGCTTTGATTCACCAACTCTGTATTCCCAGCCAGACTTCTCTCTCAGGCTCCAGACTCGGATTTCCAACTCATCGCTGGGTTTCTCCACTTGGATAGGTCACAGCGCAACATTTCTAAAGCTGACTTTCTTCTCCGCTAGTCACCTGGAATTCCTTTGCTCAAAGAATGGCATCATTATCTCCTCATGTGCCCCAGCCTAACACCTGGGGCTCATTCTCTCTCTCTCTTCTTCACTTCCCAGCACGACCAATTGGTCCACATGTCTCTTGGTTCGCTCCACATTGACCAGAATGCTATGATCTCCTTAAGGGCAGGGATGCTGTCTCTATTTTTGCCTCTTATCCCCATTGCCTAGGACATAATAGTTTCTCAATAGTTATTTATTAAATGAATGAATACTGGTTATACCATATATCTCTTAGATGAATAAATGAATAGATTTATCCACATGACTATCCTCCAAGTATGAGAATACTATTACATCCATTCATCCAACAAACATATATTGAGCACCAGGAACTAAGCTTCGTAGATATGATGTTGAACAAGTTAGACTAGATCTCCACACTCATGGAATGTATATTCGAGTTCACAGAGACAGAAAAAAACAAATCAACAAATCAGAAAATTTCAAAGAGTTATAAAACACTAGCAATAAGGTAGAAAGTGACTGGGCATGGGGAAGGGGCTACTTGAGAGAGGGTGGTTAGGGAAAATCTCTTTTGAGGGGAAGATATTTGAACAGAGAATAGAATGAAGTAAGGGAGGTATGAGGTAAGAGCATTCTAGTGCAAAGGCCCTGGGGCAGAGAGTAAACTGGAGTAGAACGATACAAGGAATCATAGTAGTCTGAGGCCCTAATGGTAGGGAGGAACCGAATAATGTGGGGCCTCATAGGCAGGGCGTGAAGTCTGGATTTTATTCGAAGTGCAGTGAGGAACTACTGAATTATTCCAAGCAGAGGACTGGTACACATGGACCCACTGCCAGGTTTTCTCATCTTTCTTGTTTTCTTCCAAAAATTTCAGTTGCTCCTGAAAATGTCTTGTTACTAGAAAAGCTTCCCATTGCATGATTGGCTTCCTATTTTGTTAATGTGAGTCAAATGGATGTTGGGAGCCACCTAGAGGATGGAGAAGAAGGATGTGGGTCCTCTACGAGGGCAACGCTGCTGCTTTATTCATTTTATAC